CATAAATAAATGTTAATCTTGCAACCTCGTCAGAACCAATCCACATGTTTCACGTGGTTATGTTGAAAGTTTTAATTTTCAGATTGAAATTTACATAAATTCGCGATGTGTAGGTACATCGTTTAGTCTCGGTTGTAAAAGCTAAAAACACTCTATTTAAAATCATGAAATATTCATGAAATTCTTTTTACTTTTCTTATTAAAAAGGTTAATTGCTGGATGGAGTTGTGTGATTGTATTGATTGCACACTTAAAACACAAATGGGAGTAATACTTTCAGATCTCGAGCCATACGCAGGAAGGAAAAACATATCACAGAAGTAGGATTCCCACGTATTTTCCTATAAACTGCCTCATGCAGACGCTAACTGCCTTTGATACTTTGAATTTACACAACCCATTAGGAAAATAAAGGTGTTGATGCATTTGGGGGTTGAATAATATCGCACACAGAAAAAGGCACTTTTCTCACCAAACCGCGCTGTGATATTTGAGCTAACAAAATGATCTCCTCGTCTGTGTTTGAACAGACTGCAGCTCTTGCAGTAAACGCTATATCTACACTTTTGTCATTCAATTATACATGCAAATGCAATTTTCAATACAATTCAAAGTTATCTTAGTTTCACGGACAGCAAGCCTTAGAATAAGTGCTTTTGGTATGGATAGCAGTGACACTTAAACGGAAACTTGGCGCTCATTCGACAGGCTCATTTGAGATCGAGAAGGTGGTCGAATTGTATGGAGGTAACTGTACGCGTTTGAAGCGCATCCACAGATTTGTTTTAAATCACATCTTGTGTCACCAGCACCACTAGTTCAACTGAAAACTTTCACTGATCCAAGAGGAAAAATTATGGCCAAATTTAGCTACACTCGGGTCTTGCAAGGACCGCAGAGTGAACACCCTAAAACCCAATATCTTGAAAATGCACCTAGAAACACTGCTATTAGTTATGCCCAGCAATTTAACAATATTCCTCTGTCAAAAAATGCAACATGCCAATCAAGAATGCACCAAAGAGGAAGAAGTATTATTGTATTGTGATAGGGACGGGCACATACATGGGAGGAAGAGCGAGCTCGGTAATTAGTAAAAGAAAATACTGGAAGAAATAGAAGGGTAGGAGAGAATCGGATCACCTACCGATGGGAATGAGTTTAAAAGGGATGATGTAAAGACGAAGAGAGATGCAGTTATGGACAAGAGTGCTAAAAAATGAAGGAGATTATTAAAAAGGCAATAACGTGGAAACTCGTAAATCAAGGGGAAGGGAGACATAATGGAAAGGAATGGTGAGACAGGGAGTGTACAGAAGAGACAAACAGATACAGAATAAAGAAAAAGAAAGGAGGATGGAAGAAAAGAAAAAAATAGAACAAGTGAGAGAGAAATACAAATAGAGGACTGGAAACACTACTTTATTAAGGCACTATAAGAAAAACAAGATGAAGAGATTGGGTTAACAAGAGGAGAAATTGAGCAGCAATTAAAGAAACTGAGAAAGCGTTCGGGAGGGATGAAGTAGGAAATGCGGCTTGGATTTTCGCCATAACTAGACTCAAGGAAAAGATGAGGACTGTATGGAAAATTATAGGGGAATCACGATAATGAGGATGGCGTACACAATATACGCAATGGTATATTGAAAGTTAGAAATAAAAATAGGAAAGAAGAGGATGTTGGAGGAAACGCACATGGGATACAGAAAATCAGGCGATCGACTGTATAGTGTTGTGTAAATGTAACGTAGACGCTATTTCGGTCTAATCACCGAAAATAATGGCGACACATCCTGTATATGAGCATACAATTTATTAAAATAATAGACGATTTCGTTGTAAGTTAAGATAAAGACAGAAACTCTACCATCATGTTTTCTTTATCTAACATTCTCACCAACATAAGATAATAAAAATGTTTTCTGGGGGATTATTTACGAAATAAGAATTTGTATCTCGGTGTTGTTTTTCTTTTTAGAAACTTCTTGTTTAAATTTGATCGCTGTTATTCGATTTAGATAAGCTGTTAGAAGTGTTATCAGGCAAAAATTAATTAACGCGCGTGTTTTATCACCGTTATTAAGAGATAAGGTGTTTCGAAGAATTGCGCGTTTCATAGTGGAGAAGTGGGGACGTTTAGTGCATTTCGTCGTTGATTAGCGATTAATTTGAAGAAAGGATGGATTAGTTGGTGAAAGTGGTGTTTCCTTCAATACTGGAGATGAGTAATCGCGGCCGCTGCTGCTGTTAGTTTTCGCGACGGTTAAAGAGCGTGTAAATTTGTTTACACTAAATTAAAGGCAGTCAGGCCTATTTGTCTTGTTGAAGACCCAGTTTGTTTTTTTTAAATAAGTCTGTGCAGAAGCAAGTTTTGTGAGAAGTTTAACGTGTGTTGTTCGATTACGGGTAAAGTTTTGTCGAGTTGAAAAAGGAAACAGTGTGCTACAGTGAAGTCTTTTGTTAAGGTTCTCTCTTAATTTTAACTAAAAGTCCGAACAATCACCTTAAATTTTGTCATTTTATTCATCAAGCCAGTTTGTTTGTCATCGAATTCTGTGTTATATAGCAAAGTGAAGTTCAGGAGATGTGAGCATTTGTGTTGAGTTAAATCTTGGATTATTAAGAAAATAACTAAGTAATTTTCAGATTTCTTATTTTATTTATCGACCGCCTGTGTGTAGAGTAATTTATTCAAAGAAACCTCGTAAGCGTCTCTTTCTTGCGGTGATTTTGTATGTTTTCATGTGTTTTGGAATAAATTTTGTGTTTATTCGAACCCATTGTGCGACGCGGATAGAGTTTTTCATTTCAGCTGCTAATGAAATTTGCGTAGTTAATTCCTTGGGATTTTCGAAAGTTGATCGAGGCTACTGCGTCCCCCAAATTGTTAAATGAAGTTAACATTAAGATTTTTCAATGTGCGGGAGCCGGACGTCTACAAGGAAAATAATAACAATTCTAAATATAAAGGTTGTTTTGTTTACAGCCAGATAGAAAGGTGTTTTGTGGGTGGTGTAGTGACCGCACGCGCCAATAGGTATATGTACTACAAAGATTGGTGCAAAAGGAATTAGAAAAAAGAGCGGAAAACTGATTGCGTTTGACAGAGTGGAAAAAGAAAAAGTATGCAAACTGACTACTGAACCCAACCGTATTTAGTTTCTACATGAGAAAAAAAATATTAAGAAGAAATACTTACGGGAAGGAGGACAAAATATTAAGATAATGGCGAGGTTCAGATTCCGAAATGAGTAGAGAGGGAAGGAGAAGTGGAGAAAATGCAGAATCTTTGGAGAGGAAGAGGCGATATTTGTTTGAATTAGTTCGTTCGTTGGCAGGAAACCTCAGGGCCTGCCATTGGAAGAAGGATAGGTCTTTGGTCGAGCACCACACGATAATTCAATTGCAATACCAAATTTCTGGACCGAATTTCAAAATGAATTCGGATTTTATTCGTTATTTCTACGCGCGATCCTCGTGAAATCGGATTTTCTGAAGTCAATTCGTTGAAGTACTTATCGACATACCTTCAACTAGGAAGAGGCCTCAGTAAGACCTTCGGTGAATCACAAAACAATCTCATGGCAAAGGAGGTAAATTTTCCTTTATTGGCGAAGGAGTTAAGTGATTGGGGGAACCTTACGGCCAGAATGGATATTTTTGATTATTTCAAACAGCAGATACAACTGAAAACTTTGTTCACTTAATTTAATCTTCTTTTTCAAGATCTTTAGAGGAGATTTTTGTGAAAAAACTGCCTGGCGTCATTTCCAGGTATATTTTTTGTTTTTGCTTTCAACGGGGGCGATAATTATATTTCCTTCTCTTTTTCATCTTATACGATACAACGTAGAATGATCGCTTCTCGTTAGTTTACAAGATAGACAAAACCGCCTTGGGGCATTTTTTACAAACTTTACAAAATATGCAAATGCAACAACTTTAAGAGAATTTCGTTGTTCTGCACTGCTTTTGGAATGAACATTCCCCCTATTAAGTACGTACTTCCTAGCATTTCTCTCTCTCTACATTTTTATACCGAGCGTTGTAAGCCAGTTAGCACACTTAACCCACTTCAAGATTTCCCATTGTCTCAGGATTTAGTTAAATGGCTATAATTCAGCATCACAAATTAACAAAATTCGTGCGGTCAATCAATGTGCGCGAAAACGATACTCACTCGTTAATCCACAATTAGTAGAAATTATAGAATTATGACCATTCGTCAGATTTTACAGGGTTTATTTAGATTCTACCAACCTTTACGGAACTGTTATGATGTTGGCACGTCTATAAAATGCATCCAAGAATAAGCGTGAGAAAATTAACTTTAACATAATAAAATTTTATCTACCTTAAAGTAGAACAAATCTTGCCTTACACCTTGACGTTTGTGCACTAATGTAAACGATTTTGAAGTATACGAATGTCAATTTGGATCGAATTATTGTAATTCCGTGACATTTTTTTGGTTAGCGCAGAAAACCGAAATATTTGCAAATCGTTATGAAATTTCAAAAAGGAAAAAAAAAACGTGAAAATTAACAACTTATATTTATGCATATAATGGTGTATAGGGTGAGCAAAGAAAGAACGCGTTTGCGTTCCAATATAATTAGCATTGAATCCAGCGATCCGAGCGGCTGAATTGTGGAAAAGTTGGATGTCGAATCAGATTATCGAATTAACCGTCTTGTCAGAGGTATACGAGGTGACTCATGAATAGGTAGTCCGGTTCTAGATTAAATAACGTCTCAAATTCTGAGATTAAAGCAAGAAATTGAGAGTAGAGGTATTACACAAAGGTCGAGCGGGATTAGTCATATTAGTGGATACGACACGTGATTGTGATTGACGCTAAGGGTTTATTTTTAATCCACTACGTGCTTTACGCATTTTCTACAATATCGATGTTGTCTAAATTTGTCACGACAACATCAATATTTCTGTTTTGCCACTGTAGGTACATGAATATGTTAGTATGCTTATGATTATACCTTTGTCCGAGAAGTGGACAGTGAGAGAAGATGGGTTTCCGTAGACGGAGTTGTTGAAGTCCCCATTTCCCCAGATGTCCTTCATGCGACTGGGAGTCTCCGTAGTTGTCGGCTTTGGAGAGGTCGTCGGAGGTGAAGAAGCTACGACAAATACATGCGTCAATTTGCCTCGACTTTAAATTTATGTATAACCACGGGGCGTTAGTATATTAGGTAAGGAATATATGAAACGTTTAACTACGGCCAAGTACGTAGTGATTGCGGGCTCATTAATTACTATCATTTACCGCAATATTAAACTGTACGATTTCGCTACTGACAGTGATACACGAATAAGTGAGCTATGGAGATTTCAATTTCACGTTAACATTCTGTCAAGTAAAACGGAACAGGGTACGTACTGTATTTTTCAGAAGGAGCCGGTTTCGTAGATGGTCCGTAGTAATAATTCAGCAATTTTTCAAGTGAAAAAGCACATTTGTTGGATTATTTTGAAATGATCTTTGAAACGAGCGAGAGGAGTCAGCAAGTAGCGGGACGATGGGCCAAGCTGTTGCTATAGAAACGACACGTGTTGAGCACGGTGTTATTTTGTGAATCTTGTCACGTTATGAGATGAAAAGGGACCTCTGGGAAACATAGACAGAGATGGGGTGAGCGGTACGGCTGCTGCAGATCGAGACGGAAACTTTAACACACAACGTTCACAATGGATAAAAAGAGTGGCGACATATAGCGGAACGCGTAATGACGTCTACGTTTGCTTATGCATAGTACATTTTCAGTTAGATAATAACGTATATAATTTTACTTGTTAACGCCTTCGAACACAAAATATAATTAACCTCAAATAAAAACCGCTGTAAGCATTTTCCGTTAGATTAATGGGAGTTCTTCCATTATGCATTTTATACAGATACTATCAGTCGACGAGTGACCACATTCACGCCTCATTTCGTGTTGCAACAAAACCGGCTCCAATCAACTAACTCGTGGAGAAAAGGCACATACATTAGCAGCTTTTTACAAACATGATGCAATACATAGTTTAGGAAAAGCTTGATGGATCAACGATTATTTTATTGCACAGTCAGGTTAATAAGCCAGTTTCATCGACCTGTCGAACTCTTGCATGTAATTATGAGGATTTGGTTTTTGTTGCACCAATCCTTTTCATTTAAGAACGGCGGCGTGGTGTTGCAGTAACGAAAAACTAGAGCTTAATTTTGTAGCAAACGACTCAGTTCAGTGGTAGGCCGACGATAAAGCGTGCTAAGATGTGTAAACATCGTACCTAGGAAAACTTGATAATAGCTTGTGTGTGTGGGTATTAATGCGATAGTGGAAATTTTGCGGTTAAGTCTACACATCGATCGAGTTTCTACACATTCACGTACTGGCGCGTATTCAAACGCGGAAGCTGAATGTATTTGGAAATAATGCCATTATGAAGGGTGAACACAGAATAAAAAGGCACATCACTTACCTGTCACTTAAAAAAACTTGCGTTGTTGGTTTCTCTAAAGTCGGCGAGTACAACAACTATGATCTAAATGCAATACACTAAATCTCGATATCACAAATGAGTATGGGTGTGTTATGTTTGTGTAGCCATAAATGCAGGTAGGGGATGATTTTTAATGCATAGTATTGTGGGGAAAATGAAACAAAAAATAAATCAACATTCCGAATTAGCTACAAATTACATGCATACAGTGGCAGAACATATTGATGTTGTAGACACGAATTAACAACAGTATACACCCTAACCATGCTACCGGTGTCCTTCACACATCGTACTGCTACATAATGCAGCTTAGCGCGACTAGGTCATCAGAGGCGATCTACAGCTTTAAGCAGCGGGTCTAAACGCCATCATGCTAACGTAATAATCGAATCCTTTGCATAATTTATTCATTATAAGTTGCCACTTCCAGGTTAATTTTGACTGAGTGCATTAAATCCTTGTTCCACAATGTTTTATATGAGAATTTGGGGTTTCCACCAATCCAGCAAACGAAATGACCCTAGGACCATGATCTGATACTGTACTTGAAGATCTTTCGTGGCATTCCTCTGGTATACTTTGAGGTGCATACAAGGGACATGGATTTGTAGAAATTATGGATTAAGTAGAGTCCTGGGTAACTTGAGAACTTAACGGAACTTGACTTGACCAAAACGGTTGAACGGTGGGGTAATCACAGCTGCCTTGTTAATTATTATAACTCTGGAGCCCGATACGTGGAGTTTGTCTGCCCCCCTTAGGTCTGAATGATCTCCAAATAAATTAGCTCTCTTTCTCTAAAAAAATTCCATTCTCAAAACGTGCATCAAGAAGAAGTCCTTGCAACAACAAAAATGGTAAGAAATCCGATTTAATCTCACCCCCCTCGCAGCCCCCTCCCCCCCGAGGTAAATTCACCTACTCAAAATTTGCTACCTATAGGAATGTAATTTCAAAAAAGTCTACAAGGGTATGAAAACTCACGTTAGTAAATTCCACCTCCTCGGAATATTTTCCCTCAGGAGGTTCACCCCTGAACGCTTGCCCAGCGAAATATTCGCCAACGGATATAGGCTTAAAACACCTGTCCCAGTAAATTGTTATCTGTTTGCTACTTCTTTTCCTAGAAACCTGTTCGCGTCTAGCCCACGTAAATTTGTACCCAGGTAATTTTTGGTGCGAAAGTTTACCTCCCAAGGAGATGATTTCTCTGGAATGTTGCCTCCCAAAAAAAATCCTCTTTCAAGCATTCTTGAATTTCAAGGACTGTGGTCTAAACATTACAATTGCACCATATTCAGAAACTGCTTCAAACGTAGGAACACTGGTTCCAATAAATTTAACCTCCGAAACTCGTATCCTGAATATTCGCTCCCAGGAACAGTTTCCGCAAGCCCGTAAAATTCCCCGATTTTCCCACGTCAATTATATTATATCCTCATTAAAAAATGCTGCCCCCTCCCCACGAACAATTTGCCACGAATTTCACTATCGACTTCAAATTTTTTACTCGGAGCGATGGTCGACTTTTCAGGGGCGTGACATCTATTGGACGACAGTTAGATTGCCGCAAAAAAAATCGCGAGCTGTGTCCTCGGCAAAAAAGGAAAACCTATAGCTCCGGGACCCTTTGAAAAATGAGTAGCGCGTTTGATGGTGATGTATAATCAGATACAGTGAAAAAAGTTGCGTTCGAACCATTTTTCGATCGACGAACGTAACGCAAAAAATCACAACTCAATATATCCAGCTAAGGCTCCAGGAGACTCCAAGCGGCAAGTTTGGGGTGGGAGTACGATATGGCCAGACGTATCTCGTTCCTCGCACCTCAGTTCAATTAACACCTTCTTCTAACCAAGGGGAAGTTCATAAGAACCGTGCACTTTGAGCCAAGTCTTCGAATCTTGGTATAGTCTTAGATATAATGGTTTTGGGAAGCCATCGCGACAAATCCAATATGGCAACTATAGTTATGAATCAATCAAATTCAAGGTCATTGTTCGTGTAGTTCCAATTTTTTCGGGAATGTGTCCCCTGATGATTGTGTAATAAAGTCCCGAGCGATTTTAGTGCCGCCAGAGGGAAGAGAGAGAGAGGTCAAGGTACGGTTTGGCGGTTTTCGGATATATCTCGAAAATAGTGGGTCGTAGGAAAGAAATTCCTGTGGGGCTGGTGGAGCTGTGTTGCTTACTGGGCGAAGGTGTCCATCACCTCTTCTCCAACCACATCATTCTGGAGGGAGTGATTTCTTCAGCTACTGCCATTTTTACCGTTGTTCTACTACCAACTGCAGGGCTAACTGTCGGTGCAAGAAGGCTGGAATTGCACCATTGCTTGTGCCAACTGTCAGAGGAGTTGTTCTAAGTCTACACCAATCCTACCAGAAGGTAAAGAGGACGTAGACGATTGTCATGGAGAGGAATTGTACGTACATCTGAATCTTCGGTCAAGAAATTTGACTTCATTTCTGTTGTAGGTAGCTGAACTGACGAAGTACAGTACAAATACCATACATGTCGATGATTCTTGAAGGAAATTTATTTCTCTACCTTCAACCACACATTGCCGAAAAAACTGGAACTACACGAATTATTTGATGCATGGAAAAACAGAAGGGCTTCGGGGCTGTTGGCAGATGTGATGAATTGGAAGCTTTTTAAAGGTCTTCCCCGATCCAAACCCTATCCATTACTCTCTTGGAGACATATAGTTGATAGGTCTCTCGTTATATTTCTTAGCACCTGATTATCCTTTGTGGTGAGCAGTATCAGCACCAGTGCTCAGTTCAGGAAATTTCTCGCTGAGGAAGAAGAATGCCATCGAGATATATGTCCTTTCTAAAAATATACCAATAAAGATGGCGACCATATTGAATTTATAGCAAACAGGAAACCAGAGGACTTTAAGACCATACCAAAGACTATACTCAATTTTAAAGAGTTGGAACAAAGTGCATGATTCTTATGAACTTTCAATAATTCCTGCTCCGCTACTTCCATTTTCCAAATTTTGTTGTCTCGTTCGTCCCTTTTCAAACTTAAAACGTTACCGAAAAGCGACTTTGTGCATATTTGGAACCCTGCTCCAGCCCCAAAACACTTTATCTTGTAATATTTCTTATGGAGGCCCGGCCATGGGGTGGTAACAGTTTACTATACCAGGTAGAAGAACAATTTCTCTTTATTTTTGATTTCGCCCAACAGGCCTTTCTTGAAATGCCGACTGATGCTTCCACTTTGTGCACCATTTGCAGCTTCAATGTGATGATGACGAATTGGGACTTGCTACTGGTAATTTATGCATCTTTGTCATTCAGAATTTCGAATCGCTGTTTGTATCATAAAAAAATTGCGGTGGTCATCACAGATACCATTCGCCCAAAAGCTATTTCTTCTAGGTTCAATAATTTAATCCGAAATGAGAGTACAGACCGACCGACCGACCTGACAGACAGACCGACATCATCGGGATTTTGATTCGGATTCCTGGTGCTTCAAAACGTGTATTTCCGTAAAAAAGTGAGGGATCATTTTTTACCGCAATACAATACCTCTCCTACTAACGTGTGGGTGGTAAAAACATTAATCTGCAAAACCAGTCGTTTCCTATCAATTTTAATTTGTTTTAAATTCAAAAACCGGGTCTCGCGGTACTTGATTTTCTTCCATTATCTTATTGGAAGATGGTCTTAATTGATTCCTAAAGAATGACGTGTGGTGGGAAGAACCTTACTGTCCAAAAGAACAACTACGGCACGTTGTATGATTTTGTACGACAACTAGAGTTCACCCACGAGTTCATACGCCCGATATTGACGGTATCGGAAACCAAGTGACTTGGCGTATGTATTCATAGGTACGCGAAATAGCAGAGTGCGCCATCAACAAAAAAAGAAGTTTAAAAAAAATCTTATTATCAGATCGGGTCTAATTGTGAATCTAAAATTCAATTTCATTAAAATCTGTTCAGCCATTTCAGATCAGAATTTTGTACATAAAGAAGATCTGCCATATGAATTGAATCCAGTCCAGAAAGACAAACTTGAGAGATGACTTATTAATTACAATAAAAGACAAGATATGTATCCTGAAACGAAAATGTTGCTGTTTGTATTTTGGAAGAAGAAATACGAATTGGATAAGATGATGGAAGAAGATTTCACGCTGGAAATTCATTGGTTTTCGGCAACAGGAGAATTACTTCCCTATAGGACCTACGGATTTGGAAGAATTTCAGAATATCACCTCTTATGGAACCAAAAGACAAGCAAAATTATGTTTCATAGTAGAAGATCTTTTGGACTTGAGATTAAGTTTCAAATTTGGAAACGCTTACGTCAGACTTCAAGAGCTCAATAGAAGCCCAATAAAATGTCTTACACACCTTTGCAAGGAGACCACCGTCGAATGGAACGTTGAATTCAATTGCACTCAGTCATTCCAATTTACTGTACTGATGTGTTGAAAGAGAAGTTGGCAACTCTGAATGATAAAAAATAGAGTTCCTATCACGATATACTTTAAAAATATGAAGTACAAGGGTATTCAGTCTCAAAGAAGCCCATCCATAAGGAATGAAATACGAGCTCCCATCTGTCCGCGTTATTGTTGTACACAAGTTTCTTTACGAAGTACTTTCTAACGATTTCTAGATATATGACAAGATTTCGTCCAGCGATTCCACTTTTATGGCAAATTGCTCTATAACGGGGTAATTTATGACACCTAAACGGCTTGCTTACTACCGCACTAATAATTTATTCCATTTAGAGCCAAATATTAAGATGTTACTGATACCGACTGCAGTGTCTAATCTTAATTACTTTACGTAGTTTAATTACCGCTCGCGAGAGCCGCGCCGTCTGTTATTATCTGGCCGGGGAAGATCGAACAATGGAATGGGGGACCACTTACTGTAAAGGCGGATAGTGCCGTCCGTTTCACCGCGTGGATTCTTGGCAACGCATTTGTAGGTGCCGTAGTCGGTTTGGTGGATATTGTTGATAGTGAGCCTCATGTGAGTCTTGTACGCCGGAACGCCTACGATATTTTCTGTATGATATTTCCTGGATTCGTGGATCATGTGACCGTCTTCGCGGGTCCAGTAGTTTAGAGATGAGGGGTGCGCCTCCGTGAAGCACTCCAAGGTAACGGAGTAAGCTAACGGCGCTCCTACAAGTTGATGGGGTATCCACAGCATTGGAGGAACTGAAAGAAGGACGTGCATTAGTAATCGATTAACAGGTTCAGGTCGCTAGGGTAGAAATCGAGTCACCTCACAACCCGCATAAATGGCTAAATGTATTTTCATTATAGCATGCAAAACAGCTTGCCAGCTGAAAGCAGAAGGTGTATCTGTTGCGATATTTCACATCGTGCTCGAGATTGGCGAGCATTCCAAGGCAACAACAGAGACCGAAAGACCCTAACTGTTTACATGATCATTTACTCTTTGTAACCTCTTTAAATGCATAACATTTCCGCGGCTTCACGCTTACAGCCGTACTTTCGGGAATTGCCTCCCTTAAGCTTCAGATTCGTGCGGGCGTTTCATTTAATTTACCTAAAGATTAATATATGGAAAATGTGCCATGTGTAAAAATTAATTCCGTAGAATCATTTTTCGCAAAGATGTCACGGAGTCGGCCATTGGGGAATGTACTTATGTGTCTATGTGGGGAAGATATTTTCCTTCCTGAAGGGTCCGGCCCTCGTAATCTATATTAAAACAGGGGACTCAGGAATTTTGCTATACGGATAAATGATTGTGGAGAGAGAGTTAACGTTGAATATTAATTAAAATTATCAATACACTCTCAGATGTAATCCCGAAGGCAAACGAAAACTACTTTATAAAGGTTAAATGCGCATTTTAATCAATGCGCTTCAATCTTGAATAAAGATGCCGAAGTCGATTTTGCAGTTTCTCTGATGGAACATTTCGAACTGAAAGTCTTTAGTGAGCCGTACTTAACTGGCTTCTACTTGTGTTTTGTTCGATGCTTTTATCTAAATCGCTTCGATGGAGATCGATTATCTTTGCTTTTAAATTTTTATGGTATACCTTTTATTTTATCAAGCAATATCTGCATGTGTTACGCAAAACACTTGCTAACACAGTTAGCGTCCGGAAATTAAAAGAGAATTACTTAATGTTCATTTTTATATGGCAGGTAGGTACTAGAGGTTAATCGATTTGACTTTGATCTGTGCTGAGCGGGAACATCGATTTCACTTGAATTAAAATTAAGGAACCACCCCCCTCTCCCTTTCACCCCTACACATAGACATGCAACGCTATAGAGAGCCAGTTAAACCCCAAATACCGGGTGATCTTTTAGAAATGATGATCATTTATTTAATTTCGGTCATGCATTCACTAAATCGTTTACTTATTTATAATTTGCAAACACTGCTTCTGTTTTATCATCAACTGACGGTACTAGCTAGAGCATAAAATAAATAATTTGACGCAATCCTGAATATCTCCCTTCCGATCCATTTTCAGACATGACAGCAGATAAATGTTACACGAAATGCTAGTATTTGCATTTTCTCAAAAGCAGCCCTGACTAAATAATGAAACAAAGATATTCGATGTGCCAATGTTCATTTTTACATAGCAGGTAGGTACAAGAGGTGAGTCGATCTAACTTTAATCTGTGCTGACCGGGAACATCGACTTCTCATGAATTACAATTACAAAACTCCTCTCCCTTCCACCCCTAAACATAGACATGCAATGCTATAGAGAACCAGTTACACCCCAGGGTGATCCTTTAGAAGTGATGATCGTTTGAATTTCCCACATTGTTGGTACTACCTGATGTTTATTTATTTAATTGCAGTCCTATATGTTTTACTACAAATTGACTGCACTAGAGCATACAGTAGCGGGGGACAGCCGGGAGACTCGAGACACTTTTCACTTTTTTAAATTATATGCCAAGATCCAAAATAACATTAATAAAGTAACATATGATATGCTTAGTGGTCTATATTGGTTAACAAGTTATAGGCCTAATATAAAAATCTATAAAATAGTTTTTAAAATTTTTTTCTTTTATTATTAGGTTGCAGTTTTCCAGAAGCTCCCCATCCTCGGGGAGACTTTGGACCCGAATAACGGAAACTTTGGACAAAAATAAAAATTTCTGTTTTTAATTAAAAAATCATTTCAATATAGAAATGTTTGGAAATTTCGGTAACTAAAACTTGAAATCTCCAAAAACAAAAATGTGTTCTTTAATACTATTAAAGAACAGCAAATTATAACAGAAAAAGTTATTCTATTAGTCCTTAAAGCGAAGAAAGAATAATTTCGTTAATTAGGTCCGTATTAAAATATAGCATGTCCATGAATCTCTCGGGTATCAGTAACTGGTTGCGGCAGTTTGCATAGTATATTGGACCATGGCACAAAAGCCTCATCTTCTAACCTTATTTTGAATCTATTCGGGGGAGACTTTTGGCAAGTGTCTCCCCCTTGGTACACTACGACGAAAATTTAAATTCCACATAAATAAAGTTAATACATCCCTGTAACAATGATACAACCTCAATGAGCAATGTATAATTAAGCTATAATAAACTAAGTACCAGACACTTAAGTAGATATCATAAAACTTACCTAACAGTCGCAAAATATTAATTTGTAAAATCATAGTTTTAGTTTTTTTAAAACAAAACGACCTTCACTGTTTGCCGGTTCTACTCGTACTGACAAAGCGAAAATAAAATCGGTTGCCTCTAAGAGGGAAATTTGGACGTGTCCAAAGTCTCCCTGTGTGCAGGGTCTCCCCACTCCCTCCTAAACAAATGGAAGCCATTTTGAATACAAATGTTACACAACAGAATTTTCTCACTCATATGGCAGTTCCCGCCATTTTGATTTTGAAATTACGAACTTTTATATAAAAACTTTTTTATAATGGTTTGGAAATCGGCACGTTTCTTCAAATCACTTTGATTGGACCGCTTTTTTTAAATTATCCTTACATTGTTAAAAAAAGAATAAAAATTACAATTTTCAAATTCTGTCAACGGAGTTTTAAACAGTACAAAAAGCTGGAAAACTTTGTCCATTTTCATGCTATATCCTATACTCTATCTTTAATAATAACAAAGTTACGCATGAATACCACTCGATCTGAGACACCCGGTATATCCTCATACGACTTCTTATGGGCGCTCAATCTTCTTTCTAGTGACGCAGTTTGGTATCCAGTATATTTACTACCTGACCCGACCCCATTCTTTTTACGATCAAAAATCTGCCCATACGCTGGGACAAATGCATTCCAATAATATATTGTAATTGATTTGTGGTTTTCGATAAATGAATTTCAATGAAAAACAAAATTCTGTTTATATTTGATCCGTCCTCGTATTTTTTTACTTTAAAATTATACCGAAAATTTCAACGCCTTCTTCGAAAAACGTTCAGACCTCTTGAGGCACAATAAAAAAATTCAAATTGTAATGAAAAGGTTTCTGAATGGGCTTGACATTTGGAATATGATGCATCCCACTTTTTTATTAAGCCCCGTTGCCAAAGGTTTAGAACTTGTGTGGCAAAAATTAGGTTAGATTAGGCAACAACATGTTTCTATTTTTGTAAGTTCTCCAATTAAATAAATGTCATAGTTTTTTGTCTCACTATTATATGTCTATTAAATTTTCCCCTACGCGGAATATCAAGTTAGGTGTCAAAATTTCAAATACGACTATCTCAAAAGCGATGTGGTGGGTGTCATGTAAAAAGCCGAAAGCATTTCGTTGCGTAAATGGACGAGTCGCCTAATGTTACAAGACACATACGCCTACGTCGAAATGTACAAATTTTAAACGGATTCTCATTCATTTTACAGATATAAAAGCATATTATATCTCATATATAAAAATTTCTACTTATAGAGGCAGTATTTCGGAAATTAACAATTGAGACTGGATTGTAAGCGACGAATACCTTTGCCTTTATGTCTCTAGGGAATCGTTGCTCTCTGAATGAAATTTCGGACGTTAATTTCTATGTTTATAAATCGCAGACAAGCAAGGTTTTCTTTCTAGTACAGTTTGTTGTGAACAGTTGCATGGTTTTGAACGTTTTGTATTCACACCAAGGGAGAAACTGTCACTAAGCAAAATTTCTTCGGATGCGCACAATGTGACCATTAAAAATTCTAATGACAACATCAACCTTATTTGATTCTTCGCGAGGAAATAACTTGAAACCAAAAGTTAATAATAGTCATTTGTAATGAAAAATACTACATCGGTACGTTTAAGTGATTTGTCCTCGACTGCGTATGATCGAATTTATGCGTCGAAAGTGCTTCCCAAGGAGTCCATAAATTAATAAAGCACAAACACTACGACAAAATTGTTCCAATAAAACAACAAACCGTAATTATATTAAAAATAAAAAATAATAGACTAATCAAAAAGACCACCGGCTTTAGACAATAATCCTTGAACACCAATAAACGTGTGCTTCAGATATCTGCATTAGTAAAATGTCAATATCACTTAGTATCACGTAAACTTAAAAAATTGGGGATGTAGCCAGAATAGTTTTCATGTCAACTCGCTTCTTAGAATTAAATTATTTAGATTGAAACCGTTTCCTACATCCTTAACTAGCTTTACGCGAAATTTAGGCTGTGAAAATCGATTTGGGAACAAAACCTTTGATTAGATTACACCTCATCCTGATTTTTATACGGAACGTAATAATATAAAGCTGCTTTTTTGGTAGATTTATGAGTTACCGCAAAAAGAGTCGAGGATAGTCCAATACGCTACGTTTATGTGCTTGTTCACGATGCAAACAGGCACTTCAGTTTAACATGCGATTTTATTTTGGCGGAAAAGAATTTGCCGCTATTTAATTAATTGTGCTCTACGCTGTTTTCGACAATTAAGTATTCGGATCCTTCATTTAATCAAACCGAGTTGTTTCAGTCTCAGTTTCAGCACATATAATACTGTTGTGATTTCTAAATGTACGTTTTAGTTCATTTTTAGGCAGCTTACGCAAATAATTTTTGGATACAGAAGAACCCTGATGAGGACAAGTCATTTTTTATGTTAACAAATTGTTAATGTGTGCTAGAGGAAGAAAGAGATGATAATATAAGTTTCTTTTCATTGTAAAATGCATCGGAAACGTTTATCCTTGTAAATACGTCGAATTGATTACGATAAGA